TACTAAATTATATTTTTTTCGTTGCTTTTTTGATACTTTTCTTGTTATTTTTTCAGTGCTTCTTTCGTCACTTTTTTGATACTTCTTTTGTCATTTTTTTGGTACTTCTTTTGCCATTTTTTTGGTGGTCCTTTCATCACTTTTTTGGTACTTCTTTCATCACTTTTTTAGTGCTTCTTTTGTCACTTTTTCGGTGCTTCTTTTGTCACTTTTTTGGTGCTTCTTTTGCTGTTTTTTTGATAGTTCTTTTGTTACTTTATAATGCTTTTTTCAGTGCTTCTTTTGTTGCTTTTTCAGTGCTTCTTTTGGTGGTTTTTTGCTTTACTGGCTTATAGATATAGGCTATGTCGATGGTCTTCAGAAGTTGAGTAACTAATAGGTTATTGCGAGTGTTTGTTCAGTTGTGATAGTTCCATATGTAGTAGTGTTTTAGTGCTGAAAGATAAGTTAAAATAGTGGTAGAGAGACCATTTTATATAATATAGTTATGTACTTGATAAGAGACTCTTTTGATACTGGCCATATTGATCTGTCCTGGTTTGTCCATTTATTATTTCGAGCTAATGCTTCAAAATGTCTGATGATTGCTTTGTATGATTTGTTAACAAGAGCTGAAACATTAAGAATAGAGGCTGCTTTTTTGTCTAAAGACAATTAGTTTCCAAATATAGTAGAACTGTCGACATTGAGCTGTGACTGCAGCATTGTGGCTACTTTGTTCTTGCGGGCTAATGTTTAAGAGATAGTATCAGTAAGATTAGATCAGAATAATCAGTTGGAATATCAGGCTGAAAATATCGTGCAAGAGAATTGTTAGAGAGGAATTTGCAGTAGCTGTTACAGGAAAGTAGGTCTGCATCAAAATTTTTTGTTTCAGAAATATGTTTAATTTTTACAGTGAAGTTCTCTATAATTTGTGCTTTATAGATCCTGGTGATGATTTTGTTAATGTCTAGATTTTTGCAAAACCCTGTATAGTACGCATCAGCATTGGCTGAGTTATCAGTTTACAATACTAGTTTTTATCTTTCTCATATCAGGGCGAAGGTTTGTATCACAATGAGAGTGGTTAAAAGTTTTTGTATTTAAATGTTTATAGTTCTTGTGTCTATCAATTTTGACCAATTGAAAGCTGTGAAATAGCTCTAGAATATAGCACCACCTCTGATATTTGAAGTATCTGTGAATAAATTTCAAGTATGCAGTTAGTGCTAGTCTTTATCTTGTATTAATTGGATGCTAGACCATATTTGTATTGTTGAAATCCACTATTAGATATTGGTAGTCATAGGTTTTAATATCCAGAATGGTGACGAGGGTTAGTAATATCATTTTGTACTTTTATTAGATGCTAGATAAAAGGACGTCCTTGTGGTAT